TAAAGTCTCAGTATACAAGGGTATACTCAGTATACATATACAGTATACCCCACCCTTCAAACCGAAACGCATTACTGCTTCACGCCAGAAATAGGCAAGGTAGTGCTATCTACCCGTGCGGGCTCACAAGAGGTTCTACCAGCAGTAATTAAGGTTTGATTTTTATTACACGATGTTATTCCTTCACCGTGGAAGTCAATCGTGAACATTTGTTAAGTACGTATTTCATTAGAAAAATTGGTTATTGAAACCCTTAAACTAATATTTGAACACTATGTCAGTTATACAGGTAACATATTAAGTCACGACCATCTATGTCCAATTTTGTTTCGTCAACTTAGTAGTTAAATAAAAAGGTCAGGTAGACATTTTCTAAACTAGGCACTACACTAGACAACAACTGACCCCATAACATCAGGTGGGCTTAACATCAGGGTTTTGGACGCATAAGATTATGTTCATGACATTAGCCATAGCTATGTTTGTTCTTACAGTCATATTAATAGCATAAAGAGAACTTTAGCCTTGAACATTGTTAATGATGTACAGTCAAACCTGGATAAGCGAGAGTTCAAGGGAGCACAATCTCATTCTCGCTTATAGAGGTTTCTCACTAACCCGAGTTTATCGCTAATGCTCCCTCTGAATTTCGATTCGCGATTTTCCGCATTCAAATGCATTCACTATTTTAAGTTTATGACTTTAATGACAGTACTTTAATTTTCCGTTTTTACATGATGCAGAACAGAACTTTCCTTCGCAATTGATTAACGATAAACTGAGTAAGTCCGACAAACAGGACGGTACACAGGTACACGTGTCCATTTGAAAATAATGCGATAAAAGAATACGATAAAATAACAACGTTATTTAGTTCCACGAAATAGAATATTCACGAGAAAACAATACAAAAACAGTGATAAGAAGTTCCACGAAAGTTAAAAATGAGTCATAAAATAGCAGATGTTAAATTTGTAATTTGTTTTGTCATTTGTTCCTCCTAAATAATATAAATAAATAAATAAAGCTCGGCTGTCGCTTATAGAGGTATAGATAGGTAGCAGTCTCACTTACGGAGGTCCATGAGGAAAAAACGACTCTCTCTTACAGAGGTTTCTGTTTNAAATAAATAAAGCTCGGCTGTCGCTTATAGAGGTATAGATAGGTAGCAGTCTCACTTACGGAGGTCCATGAGGAAAAAACGACTCTCTCTTACAGAGGTTTCTGTTTCTCGCTAATAGAGGTTTTGGGAGCTTAAAATGACGGGTCCTTGCTATTACTCTCACTTATAGAGTTTTCTTACTTATCCAGTTCTCACTTACCCAGTTTTGACTGTATTTACATTTATGCCAAAGTGGGGTAAGCTAATAGAGGGGTAACACAAACCAACTTTGTTCCGCCTTTTGCAATCAGTGCTGAAACTGGTGTAAATTTATACCATATTTTCGAATTTATTCGGTTTACCGGTTTCAAAAAATAATCAGGTTCGAGTGAGTATTTAAGAATGTGCCACATTTTAACCAATAACAGAGAGTATATCGGATCCGCTGCTTTCTAAAAAGGTTCGTATATGGACATATTCACGCATCGACACCACGCTCAGACATCGGTCTTCCCTTCCCTCCAGTGGTGGAAGAATGCATCCTTAATGAAAATATATTTCGCAAAACAATAACTTATGCTATATTGTAAATTACTTGTTTTCATAACATTGGATCATTTACTGCATTATGGCGTAGGGCTTAAATAACTCTGTTGCTTAAGATTCCCAATCCGTTTCTCCTAATTCATTTCAGGCTGATATTAACCCTCCTTCTCTTTCCACAGTGCTTAATGCCTGTATATACCTAGTCAGGTCATAAATTCTGTCACATGTTTAATGTAAAATAATTGAAACAAGTTTATTCATTATGTAACCATTCATATACCAAAATGAACTTAACAAAACATAGATTCTTATGACACTAAAGTTTATTCAAAATGACCTCCGTGATTTTGAATACAGGCCTTCAATCTGCGCGGCCAGTCGTCTATCGCAGCACGAACGAGGTCCATGTCAATATCGGCGGCTGCCTTAATCAAGGATGTCTTGAGTGACTCCAAATTGGGATGAGGCTTTGAGCACGCCTTTTCCTCCAAGTGTTGCCATATCTTGTAATCTAACGGATTCAAATCTGGACTGGAGGAGGGCCAGTCTTCGTGCCGGATGAAGTCGATTTCACGCGCCGCCAGCCAGTCTTGTGTGCTCTTCGCTCTATGAGCTGGCGCCGAATCTTGTTGGAATACCCAGTGCCTGTTATTGAACATGGTATGAGAAACAGGTTCCACAAGGTTCGTCAGGACTGTATTTTGATACACAACTGCATTCGTTTTTACACCTTTCTCACAAAAATGTACCTCTGTTAAGCCCCAATAAGAAACTCCCAACCATACCATGAGCGAGGATGGAAAATGACCTCGTTGGACACGCGGAATACGGTTGCTCGCTTCTTCACTACTGTGTGCGTACACCTTATCATTTTGTTTGTTGTAGCTCTCTTCTACGGTAAAAATTTTTTCATCCGAAAAAAGAATTTCCCGATATTTTTTTCCCGCGTACCGCTTCAACAAAACGCGGCATCTCTTCAGTCTCAGGTCCATTAGACGAGCATTCAAACGATGTCCTGTTTTTCTTCGATATGCCCGAAGCCCTAAGTCTTCATTTAACACCCTTTTCACCGTGGTTCTGCTTAATCCCATCTTTTTTTCTTTTTTTTTTATGATTGAAGGTTTACTGGTGGCCCTTAATCCCATCTGAAGGGCCAACAGTTTCTGCTTACGTTTGGGATTTCTTTGAATTCGCGCCTTCACAGCTTTTATCACTGCTGGAGTCCTAACAGACCGAGGGCGACCACTTCTTGACCTGTCATCTACACTAGAGTCTTCATTGTATCGTTTGATGGTACGATAAACGAATCTTTTGGTTATATTCAAATTTTTCAGTATGTTAAAAATTTGAATTGGCGCGTAACCGCAACGATGCAACGCAATAACTGCAACACGGTCTTCTTTAAGCGTCCACTCCATATTTAAAAATGAGTAAAATTCTAAAAGTATACATTTTTATTTTCATGAACAATTCGAAATTCGAATTCAATAAACTTTTTTGTGGTCAGAATTCTAAAAGAAAAGTTTTTACTGTGTGACAATACTTATGACCTGACTAGTTACAAGCAGTTGTAACTGTTCGTATATGAGAACAATCTTATCGGGTTACAGCCCTATTTCTACTCTCCATAAAGTGACTGGCGATATCAGGGCCGATATGAAGGAAACTAAGGTTACGTTGCTAGTTCTAATCGACTTTTCGAATATCTACTTTCAATACCGTCAATTACAACCTCATTTTGGCTTGCGATCAGCATCTACAACACTAAAATGACTATTTTCTTTTCTTCAGGGAGGCTAGCAGTCAACTCGTATTGGCCTTATCAAGTTTATAGCCTTGATACTGGCATTCCTCAAGGCGAAATTATATCTCCTTTACCCTTTTCTATAGCTACAAAGCTCAGAACAGATAATCGTGAAGATGGGTACTACATGTATGGAAATGATTAACAGATCTGCTCGCTCAAACGAGTGTGGAGTCTATATCAGAACCGATAGATAAGATAAATTAGAACTTTAGAATATATTAGTAGTTAGTCCTATAGATTTGTCCTGACTATCCATCCATCGAAGTGAAAAGCCAGGATTGAAGGAAAAGATCGTACATATGTCGCGCAGCATGGATACTACATCGATTCCTACTCCGATTAGCCCTGTGGTTCAGGATCTTTACATATACATAATTATATACATGCATTATCCGCATTCGACTGGGGTGCTCAGGTGTCACTTTATCTCTACCTATGTTGGTAGCCTTGAGAGGCTATTTCAGCTTCTCCTTGACGTGTAGCTGAGCTCAGGGGGCTCTAACCGGGAGTGTTGCTAACACTGGCCCTAGCAAGAGCAGTACTTCGCAGAATCTACCACCGGATCGGAAACGTGATCCACTGAAAAGGTCCGGCGAGAAACTCAGTGGGCTGTGTTTATGGGTTAATTCACTAGTCGAGCCCTTCGTCGCAAGCGATGGGTTCGGCGAGGACGGATCTAAAGCCATCTGGCATACTTCGCGCTCTATACCGCCTCAGGAACTTCCTGCCGCCTGCAAGTAAGGCCGTGCTTACAAAGCCCTTGGTCTTCCCTATGATTGTCTAAGGTGACATATGCTATTTGGATCTGAATGCAGACTTGATAACAAACTAGACCGTTATCATTCTCAATAACGGCATTCTATTCATTTTCCCTTCGTAATCGGCATAAATTTGTACTAATTGGTGATCGTCATAATTTGTGTGCTCTTCAACACTTCCCTCTATTCTCATATGTACTTTCCCTTCATCTAACTCTCTGCTTTCAGTACCTCCACTCATAACAGGACGATACGTTCATTTAACGACTTAATTCTTCATTGTCATATCACACACCTCACATAGCTCTGACTTTGTCCGCTTTTTCTTTTCTCCTACAATCTGTATCTCTCTGGAATGTGCTCCCTTTTAAGATCAGACAATTACTGATCGTTTTGTGCTCAAATTGAGATATCGGCAAATAGTTTTATCGAAATTAGCAGATACGTGTCAAAGTTAACATCTAAGTATTTATTGTATGTTTAATAATTAGGTATTTTTATTAAATGTCTATATAAATTTATTATAATATTGTGTGCATGGATGGACATGGATGGAGTGTGTGAATGACGATATGAGAGACAGAGGAGTGAGTGTGAGGAATAGAAGAGAATGGAAGAGAAAAATTAGCTGTCCCGACCCCACCTAGTGGGATAAGGTGGAGAAAAAGTAAAAGATTATAATATTGTTATAAATTTCTGCATCAGCCTTGGTAGTGGTACAGAATACCTTAGCCATTAAGTCCATCAATCGGTACGATATGTACATGAAGTGTAAAAAAGAACTTACCTTATTTACTTCAAAGGAGTTCACCTTATTCGTTAGTCAAATGATATAGTATCTCGTTTGTGTTGACACCTTGAAGGCTGCGGAACAAGTGCCGGTCTGTCAACGCGACAACGCGTCAAAAGTAGGAAGACGCGTTACCTGCGTGCTTCAAGTGTTTTATAACGCCTTTAAGGCTTCGTCAAACAGAACGCGTAATTAGCGCGCGTCAGAGCGCTGAACTGACGGCGCGCTATGACGCCGAGATGTGTTGTACTACTATGGTACCATACCGTCAAACAGAGCCCCAGCGCTATAAGTACGCAACGGTCTGTCGCGGCGTTAGGACGCTTTGACGTCAGGCGTTGTAATTTTTTACAAATTTTATTTTAGCGTCCGAGGTAATGTGTATTAAAATACTAGATAATGCCCGAAAAATTGATAGAAATAGTTAGAAAATACCCATGCTTACACAATGCCACATCTGAATCACTCGACATCTTAATACTTTTAAATTTTCACACTGATATCGATAGGCACTATGATTTTTTTTATTGCTTAGATGGATGGACGAGCTCACAGCCCACCTGGTGTTAAGTGGTTACTGGAGCCCTTAGACATCTACAACGTAAATGCGCCACCCACCCCGAGATATAAGTTCTAAGATCTTAATATAGTTACAACGGCTACCCCACCCTTCGAACCGAAACGCATTACTGCTTCACGGCGGAAATAGGCGGGGTGGTGATACCTACCCGTGCGGACTCCCAAGAGGTCCTACCACCAGTGATTTGGCGAATGCGTTGCGTCAAGGAGCGTTGGACTCATCTAGTCAATTTGTGTGACATGAAAAGAGCGCGACGTTAAGTAGTTTAAGTACGCGGCGCTAAGTACGCGTTCTGTTTGACGAAGCCTTTATAGTAGCTCCACCGATATTCTCAAATACGCGCGTCAAATACTTAATTTTGAGAATAATTTAATAAATTAACCCACTATTTGAAATTTTAATTTTCATATGAACACATAAATTTATATGTGCAAACAACTTTGTTTCATTATAATAAAATTCTTACACTAGGTACTAATAATAAAAAATGTATGGGATGTAATATTTATATGTATGTGTAAGATAAATCTTTTTTAATGCTGAGATGGAGGATGAGTTCACGACCAACCTGATTTTAAGTGGTCACCGGAGCTCATAGACATTAACAACGTAAATGCACCTTGAAACATGAGTTCTAAGTATCAGTTTGACAACACAACGGCTGACCTGCGCTTCAATCTGAAACACATTATTGCTTCACGGCAGAAATACGCAGGGTGATGGTACCTACCGGTGCGTAGGTACTTACAAGACGTCCCTTTTTTTCTTTTCTTTCTTTTTCTTTTTCCTACTAATTCTGATAGCCTTGAGAGGCTATTTCAGCTTTGCCCTAACATGTAAATGAGCTAACGGGGCTCAAACCGGAGTGTTGCCAACACTGACCCTAGCAAGAGCAGTGCTTCGCAAAATCTACCAGCGGATCGGAAACGCCACCTACTGAGAAGATCCGACGAGAAACTCAGTGAGCTGTGTCTGTGGATTAATTCGCTCGTCGAGCCCTTCGTCGCAAGCGACGGGTTCGACGAGGGCGGTGACCGGTGCTTGAGGTACCTAAAAGCACCGTTAATGGATCGGGAGGATCCGTAATGACGTGTTTTGGGCGACGAAGACGTCCTACCACCAGTATTTACGCAAATTATGATTTTGCGGGTTTGATTTCTAATAAACGATGTTATTCCTTCAACGCTGAATTCAGTTGTGAACATTTATACCTAGTATTTTGAATTATCGCATTCCTGCAGTGGTTCTAAAAAAATGCGCTTCTGAATTAATACCTCTTCTAATGCGTTTGTATCAATTTTCGTACAGCACCAACAGAGGTAGTCTTCGTGGAAGTAAACGTGGATTTTTTAACGATAAGGCGATGAGTGAAATGTATGTAATTGTTTTATTTTGTTATTTTAGAACTTCTTCAAGTTCAAATGTGTAACGGCAGTGCGGGAAAATAAAATAAACACGCTCGACGCAGCTTCGCGGGTTCGCCGAGAATATCTATTCCGTAAATTTCCATGATTTTAGGAAGAAGTCATCTCGTTTCATTAAGTCAATTTATTTTGTTTCTCACTAGCGGACTATCTTTTTGCACATCGCACTATTTATTTTATTTATTTACTAGCGACCCGCCCTCGCTTCGCTTCGGAAACATTAAAACACACATGAAAACAAAAAAAAAATATATATTTTTTTTTTAAAAAGTAGCCTATGTTCATCAGGGACAATGTCGGCTTCTTATGGAAAAAGAATTTTTCAAATCGGTCCAGTAGTTTCGGAGCCTATTCGAAACAAACAAACCAACAAATATTTCCTCTTTATAATATTAGTATAGATATAGATGTAGATTTATTTATGTACACACAGAAAAGAAGACATAATACAGAGTAATAGGAAAATTATGTATAAAGGCTTCTTTAAGAAATCTCTTCCAGCAGACCGGCGAGAGGATAATGAGAATAATAATAAAAAGTGATGAGTGTGTGTAGAACAAATAACACATAACTAAAATAACAAATACAACATATTACAACATAATAACGAATTATAGTAATGTAACACATAGCAAATATTGTTAAACTTGAATACAAAATATTATAAGTAACACAGTAACACTCGTATATACGAAGAGTATAGAACCATGATCATTCGGTTGATGAGAGATAAAATAGTTTGACCTTGTATTTAAAAACAGAAACATACTTGCAAACTCGGATGTCAGCCGCACTACTTTTTTTGCACTATCTTTAATTATATAATTTCTTTGTAGTCGTTTTATCGAGAGATGAAAGGCTAATTGGTTCAAGCGAAATTTGGCTTATTACGACATTTATCTTTGTAATTAAAAGTCCGTTTTATTCGGTGTTAGCATCAACATTTCCATGTTTTTTTTAATTGAACTTCAATTATTTTTATTCCATCCAAATAGCTTTTTTGTTATGATATATTTAAAATACAAATTTTAAATTTTAGATGACGCTCCCGTAAGCTTGCAAAAATGTCCCTTATACCAAACAGCCTCTCACCCCTCGATAATACTCGTATACGGTTTCTAATCTTAACCAATCTGAATAATGAAAGATCCTTAAAAAGCTGACTGAATATTTTCGCGTGATTGACCATGTACTGTACTGACACAAGAATCAGAGCATTGCTGGTAGGTACATACACAAAATCTAAATATAATTCAGGTCGACTTCTTCAACAATCTTTAGTTGTTAACACCCAATGACAGTACGAATTTGTCGTGTCCATTATTTAATTACTCATCCAATCAATTGGATTTGAAAAACTTATAAATAAATAAAATTGTCCTGTGTGAAAGTACTGAATGAAAATATTTAAGAGGTTCATTTTGTAGATTTTAGTAAGATTGTTATCTTTGCTTCGAACGGGGAATAATGGAAAACCAAGGTTTTTTTTTATTGTTAGTAGCTCTGAATGTTTCCAGTAAAATAATAAAATTAACGACGACACGACAGTTCAGTAATTGATGTGATTTTTCGCTCCTTTCAAAATTATATGGCCTGTTAACTGTGTGTATTCTGTTTTAGTATGAAAAAAGCTATGAAGCGAAATGAGATGAAGTTGAGTAATTTGTAATTATTATCAATTGGGATGAAATGAAATGAAATGAAATGGGATGAAATAAAGTCTCATTAAGATGGTGCACAAATTTTTTATTTATTTTTTTATTGCTCTTGTAGGCAGACGAGCATACGGCCCACCTGATGGTGAGTGGTTACCGTCGCCCATGGACTTCAGCAATGCCAGGGGCAGAGCCAAGCCGCTGCCTACCGCTTAATACTCTCCACAAGCCTCGTTTGAAGAAGGACATGTCATAGCGCTCGGGAAACACCGTGGAGGGGAGCTCATTCCATAGCCGGATGGTACGTGGCAAAAAAGACCTCTGGAAACGCACTGTGGATGACCGCAGTGGCTCCAGGTAGTATGGATGAACTCTACTCCGGTGGCGGGCGGTGCGATGGTAAAAACGAGATGCCGGTATCATCTCGAACAATTCCTCAGAGCACTCCCCATGGAACATACGGTACAGAATACAGAGGGAACCGAAGTCCCTCCGCAGACCCAGAGGCTCCAAACGATCCGTGAGATGTGGGAAAATGAATCAAAGCTACTAGATGTAGTTTCTCAGGATCTTTCAAAAAGTCCACTGAAAAAGACTCAGTAAATAATCACTATTTTACTAATAATACATTTCATAATATATCATATCGTTTCATTTAATTTCATCTCAATTATTGTCTCAAATTAATCAAGTTCATTTCATTTCACTCCAGATCTTTTCATAAAACAGAAAATACAAAAGATTTGGCTGTATGGTATGATACTTTCGCTTTCCCGTTGAAAAAATGCAATTACTTTGCTTGCTACAAAACGTCATTCTCGTGACATCAAGCGATAACTTTCCTGCTTTCAAAGGCGTATAGAATTGTTTATCTCATAAAACGATATTGTAAAACTATGATATATTCATGACGCAAACATTCTTGTGTATGAAATTGAGTAACCCGTTATTACACACTATACACGCGAGAAAATGGCGAACAACAGAATCCCTTCAGGACCTAACACTCCTGGCAGTCAGCAGACTCCCACACAGCAGGGAATCAAAATATTCATACAAAGAGACTATTCTGAAGGCACTGCAGTTAAATTTCAGACCAGATTCCCGCCTGAGCTTGAAGAAAGGGTGAGTGATGTATGATGTTGATCTACAAATCTAGAATAAAGATTGACCTGTGAATGTAAAGCTGATTGTTGACTTCTAAGGCAGACGAGATTACGGCCAAGCAGATCGTAACTGAAGACAGTCGATCGACCAAAAAATTAATATACATAAATACATAAACATAGGCTCGGGCAAGCCACTATGCACTGAAAGGACCATTCAGTATATGAGATTATTCACAGCCCAAAGACGCGAGGTCGAAGCTCCTTTACTTATGTGTCACGTTTAATAACTTAATTAAAATGAAAAGTAGTTTATGATAACAATATAAAAAACTTAATCAAAGTTTCTACTATTCTACTACAGATAGACAGACAAACCTTTGAACATACAATAGAGAGACTGAATGAACACTTTGAAATGGCAGAGACAGCAGACTGCAGTACATATTGTGAGGGATGCCTTGCCTGTCTGACTGCCTACTTCATTTATATCTGTACAGAGACACATTATGAGAAGGTAAATAAAGTTTATTAAGTCAGATTTTCTGCCAAAATTGTTAAATTCATAGTTTATAATTTAAGTGCCTGGTTAAATTTTAGTTAATCTTATTGAATCAAGTAGCACATGTTATTGAATTTGGACTTCTCTAAACATTCAATTACTTGATTTTGTTTTCCTCTAAAACCCTAGTTGATTTTTTTCTAATAAACCTATAAAGCATCAGATCAACTACAGAGCCATATCAAAGTTTAATTTTTTTACATAGAATTTGTTAAAGTTTAAATCTAAACAGACATGATAATATATCATCAGTATCATAATAATATATCAGTCTGAAAAATAAATTTTTATCCACAAAACCTTTTCCTTTCCTTCCTTTTAAATAAAAATAAAAATAGCAGTATTATAATAATCTGTTGGTGAAATCGGAATGTGTTATAAACATTTAAATAAATTAAATATAAATTTCATTATTAACTATAAAGATAATCAGCACTTCTGAAACTCTTAGGAACATCTAAATTAAATTTCATTTAGTATTTTCTTTAGTTTTTGCAAGTTGTACTTACAGATTATTAAAACTACTTTCATATTTTAATTTTGTGTTTTTTATTGTCATTGTATTATTTTTGACGATATGAATAGATAATAGATTTCACAGTAAAAGATTATGAGATTTGGTATGCAAGCTTTAATTCTCTCCATTCATTATTCAACGTTGCTACCTCAGTATCTGTTGGCAGTCCAAAAATAGTAATAACAGTGAGAGATGGCATCTAAAAACTTGAGTTATTTCAACCCTAAAATCAGTAAAAAATCATGTGTAAAGAATTAAAACCAAAACACCACTAATCAGTGAAATATATAATGTTTATTTATTTATTTCAGCATTTAAGGAAAGTCTCAAAATTCATAGCAACACAAAACGAAAGGGTATACAACCCCCGAGGTGTTCATATAACTGATCCCATTCTTCGCGGACTACGAGTCATTGAAATCACGATGATAGACGTACCCAACTGCCAGAGCCCGACAGGGAATAACACATCGATCCGACATACTTGACCACCACACGACAGCAGGGAGTTTTTCATGTAACGTTTCTGGTTTTAAAGGATTTTTGTGAAACTTGGTACTGGAAATCGGCAATTAAGCTAGTTTTATTTTTAAATTAATTATAAAAACAATACATAATAACAACAATAGTTACAGAGTAATATTAAAGACGGCAATGTCAAATTCTAGATTGGGACGACAACGGCAACATCTTGTTTTTAGTATTTCTGTTATAACAAACTGTGTGAGCAATGCGGCATGCGTCCTTTGTGAGTAGTATAGACTGCAAGTCCGCCGGGATGCCTGTATGTGTGCTACTTCTTCAGTTTTCTGTTCTTTATCTTTATCTGCGCCACATTGGTCTGTATTCTCTGTGTGAGTCACCACACTATATGAGATAACAAAGATAAGATTTTTAATCCCACATTAAGTTAATTTTATACAAGTGGCAATGTGATTTATAAAAGTGGCAACTTTTGGAAATATATTGAGAATTTATAAGGAGCCTTGGAGTGCTGAGCCCAAAATGTACTTTTTATTAGAAGCAGCAAGATTTTGAAATTTTGACAAAAATATTGCAATTGTTCGATGCATAATCTATATACTTAAACTTTTTTTGTTTTGCCACAAACATTTTGTTGAAAAATCAGCCAAGATTGAACTAAATTGCAATTTAATAACAAGAAGATGCCTGTTACAAAACCAATACTTAATTGAAAATATTCAGTGACCGGTTCGATCGTCCAGTGCCGCCTTGAACCTAATCGTATTTACCTTTTTTGCCTGTGCTAGGCTACTGGCACGAGGCTTTATACAAGCTGTACCGGACTGGTCTCACGGGCTCAATCTGGCGAATTTGCTAATACTAGCCCTAGCAAGGGAAGTGCTTCATAAAATCTACTACCGGTTCGAAATCGTGTCCCTTGAGAAACTGAGTGGGCTGTGTCTGTGAGTGAAGTAACTTGCCGAACCCTTCGTCGCTTTCGGCGAGACCAATGACAGGTGTTTGGAATGCCTAAAAACCCCGATAGTGGCTGTTTACCGTTCGGTCCACACGTCTGGGTGCTACACGCTGACTATATATATTAACTGATGGACGTCTTTACCAGTACTAAATGCATCGCGACAAGCGATTGTGACAACTGGCCCATCGTCTACATTTTAAACAGTAAGCTTGCCCCATCACTTTCAAACCAAAATAGGTACCAAGTTTCAAAAATTCTTTACTTTATACTAAACGGTTTTTAAATATAATTTTTAATATAATTATATTATCAATTCGTAATTAGTTTTTATACAAATTAGTGATTTGAATGTCATGTAATCAATTTAGCTGTAAAACATTGTTTTCTTTAAGACAATTGAATATAAAGTTGACTAAACACTGTCGTAAGCAAAATTGGCATAAATTTACGTACATACTACCCAACATTTCGACCAAGCAATAACTAAGGCACTTGGGGGCTGTTCGTTGTGGGGGCTCCCAAGGAGCCGCCGGAAGGTAACCGCTGGTAGTAACCGTTGGGCCAGCGGTCGACAGAGTGATAAGATAATAACACTGACAGTTCGAAACTAAACATTCTGGTAAGGCAACGCTGGTCGACAGTTGGGTACACCGATAAATGATTACTGGTACTTGCCGAACTGGGTGCTCCGTGGAATGGAGCGATATCCATTGTACACGTTCTAGTTTGGTATCCAAAAATAATATTAAATTTTTCAATTATTATTTTATTTTAAATGTTTTTAAAGTGAATTTTTAATTTTATATAATTTCGCGGTTAGAACTCCCTCGCCTTAACGTTCTTCCATTTATTTAAATGTTATAGAATAGATTTTGACTATGTAATTGTATTGTGAAATAATAAATAATCTCTTGCGAAAACATTGCGACCCGCGGTCTAGGGTCGGAGGCCCGCGGTGGGGCGGGCTCCCAGACGCTGCTTCTATGATATCTTCGAAACTATTCGCACGTGATTATTTAATATTGCGAATATCATTAAGATATTTAGATAGATTTAAATTGAATATTCATGTCACTGAATGTATAGATATAAGTTAAGTTGTATTGGGATAGTTGCATCAAATGCTCATTTTGACTTTAGAATGAGAGGGCAGACAGACCTCCCGGCTCGTGAGGCGGTCGTAGGGGGAGGGCTGTGTCGGAGTGCCCAAGGGGGACACGTAGATGATGAAGGGTTGGAATCTGTCTATAAGCACCAGTCCAGATTCCGCCGCCGCTGGTGCAGTATGTGGCGGACCCCGCGGGCCCCCACAACGCGCTTCCGGTGGATTATGTAACATAGTGTAATTAAAGGCAAATACAAAACTTGTAAATTTGCATACTTACTGTGAAGCCTATCGACTGTGATCTACTAGATGATCTTTTCATGTGCCGCTGCCCCCTGTCAGCTGACTTGTCACTAGATACTCGTGCTTTTATTCATAATATTCTATATTTGCCTTTCATACCTTCAATACTGAAAACCGTCGAGATCTTAACTCTGCGACGACGTTTGTATCCGTCACCTGTCAATATAAACGGGTTCAGTTTCCAGGGAAGGCGTATTATTCTATGTGATTTTCGCGCACCGTGATAGGACTTTATTAAATTATTAAAATATTGTTTTCTAGCATTTATTTCCACCACGTACGTATTGCTGTTAGCCAACAAACCGGTCGTGGTGTTATTTAACGAACCGAAATTGGTGTACTGCGACTTTTTTCACCGGTCGGCTGGGCACCCCCCACTCGATCGCGTGTAGGGTCTGGTGGAACTATTCGCGCGCCATTACGTTGTTGATGCTGTGACTAACCCTTTACATGTGCCAAGAATAACTGATTAGTGAACCGCGTAAACTGTGCTAACAAACCTACACCATCGAACTCCTTATTTTGATCGGTGTGCTTCGTGCGAGTTTTTTAACGTTCTCGATAACGTAACAGTTAACTCATATTTGTATGGAATGGGATCGTTTGCGTACGTTTGCCGCTAGGGGCGCTGTTCCAACTGCATACGAAATTGGGTTAACTTTTACGCGATCGGTAACGTAAAGAAACTCGCACTAAGCACACGGATCGTTTAGAATCCGAAATGAGATGATACATTTTAAAGAATTAGTTTCGTTTGTTATTGCTGTCAAATTGCCGTGCGTCTTTATTCCTGCTCATCTCCAGACTTTGCTGCATTCTTTATTTCAGTTTGCCACATTGCATGTTGTTCTCCACAGCTTCTTTATCCGTCAGCTGGACTCCTTTGGACCGGGCCCTGACCTGGCACCTTTACTGGTGGTAGGACCTCTTGTGACTCCGCGCGGGTAGGTACCACCACCCTGCTTATTTCTGCCGTGAAGCAGTGATGCGTTTCGGTTTGAAGGGTGGGGCAGAGCCGTTGTAACCGCATTTACATTGTAGATGTCTATGAGCTCCAGTAACCACTTAACACCGGGTGGGCTATGAGCTCGTCCACCCATCTAAGCAATACGCTCTGACCTACTCCGTGTTTGTTAGTTTTGACGTCGAATAGTATATCTCAACGTTTGTAAACCCCACAACATCGAATGAATGAACCAGCGGCCATTGCACCAACTGCGTCTGTCCCCTTCACGGCTTGTGGTACGATACGATACGATAGTAAATGTTTTCCGATTAGTTTTAATTAATTATCATTTTATAATCACAAATTTATAAAACTTTTGTAATATAAAGATACATATTAATATTATAATTGTGAAAATATGAGTGGATTAGTTGAATGTGGAAATTATATTATTAAATAAATAAAATATCGATATTATTATAATATTTTTGTTTTTTTATTTATTTTGAGTGATACCTTCTGAGGCCTGAGGGCCCATGGGCATTGACCATGCCAGTGCCAAAACTAATTGATTGTCTATCTAATGATGTTAATGAAATCCTTAGAGCCGAATCGAGACATATCGTGTGGTGAAAGACTATTTAGTTTCGTTTAATACGCAACATTGGTTACTGATGATAGGACCTCTTGTGAGTCCGCACGGGTAGGTACCACCACCCCGGACCTAACCCATGCATCAGCCCGCTGAGTTTCTCGCCGGATCTTCTCAGCGGGTCGCGATTCCGATCCGGTAGTAGATTCATTCGCGAAACAATTGCTCTTGAGTTGTTAGGTCTCCTTCGGAGGCGCTCGGGCAGTTGTTAGCAAATCCCACCCCTCTTGGCTGAGCCTTTGCTCGCCCACCTGTCCTGGTGAAACTGGAAAGGCCTTCGGGCCACCAGTAATCCTTCAATCATAAAAAAAAAAAAAAAACCACCACCCCGCCTATTTCTGCCGTGAAACAGTAATGCGTTTCGGTTTGAAGGGTGGGGCAGCCGTTGCAACTATACTGAGACCTTAGAACTTATATCTCAATGCGTGTGGCGCATTTACGTTGTAGATGTCTATGGGCTCCAGTAACCACTTAACACCAGGTGGGCTGTGAGCCCGTCCACACATCTAAGCAACAAAAAAAAAAGACAATGTTTATTATTGAACCCTTTTTAGGTTTTATGGTAACTTCTAAATGAAATAAAAACCATTTCATAAATTTATATTTTGATTTGATTATATATCCTCTAAAATTTATTAAAATTAATCTTCTCAAAAAATCACGATGCCTGAAAATTTAATTTAAAAAAACATTACTGCATTTATCAAATTATTAATTGTAAAATAAGCATGATTAGACTTATAACAACAGGTCGCATCACTGAGCACTTGCGAGCTATAACGGCAGCTTAAACTGCAGCTTCTACCATGCGTCTGCTCTGTCTTACTTTGTAATATTGTTACGCGCCGCGGTTCGGGATAAATAAAACCACCACCGAAGTACGAATTAAAACTCTATTTAACACTTAGAACACTCACAGAACACTTTAAAATTCATCATACAATTTTTCCGCTTCTCTTCAGGTGATCCTTTGACTTTCGCTTCGAGTAGATCCGATTACTAACTGCCTTCGTGTCAGCTCTGCAACGACTTTATAGTCGATAGGACATCTCTTTAATTATCGAGAACATTCCCGGCAGGTCGAGTAGTTTCGATTTGTGTTTTCGCTGTTTGATAATAGATGACGTTACTCTTACCAGCGTAATAATATTATCATATTGGTCGCACCACACGTCATAGCTTATTTCAAACTTAAACTTTGAAACTAAACACGTTCAAGATATAGTTATAATAAAGCTAGGCCTGTGTGTGTTGGATATTTATTTTTAACTACAGTAAAAGCTCCTTATACGCTTCCTTCATTCGCGTTTTCACTATTCATGAATTAAAAAAACCAATGCGACCCAATTTCTATGTTCGCAGCTAAAGATTTATTTTATTCTCGGTTCTAATCGGTAGATAGACATACATTGATAAAAAGGATTCCAATATTTAGATAACCAACCGAATATCTTTTGTAACCGCGCTTTTCTATATTCACGGTTTCTGTATTCGCGGCATACTTACGGAACGCATACCCCATTGTAGACAGTGTTTAAGATTTTAAAACAATTTTATGACAATATGAATTAAACTTTTGTGATCTTGTCCATTCGGTGAAGCCACGGTCGGCACGGCGACCAGGAAGGCTTTTCAGGATATAGCAAGTAGAGGCAGTTAAAAAGTTTCCCAATTAAAAGCAAAGAAATTAGTGGGTCGTATCGAGAAGACAATGAGTGTGACGCGTTTACGATTCTCGTATTTGATATAAGGGCGTAATTCTCGAAAAGCTCGTAAACGTGAGCTTTTATAGCTTCTAATTACACGAGGCTATTGCAGGCAACGAGAGATACTGCTTCAACAAACACAAATAATTT